TGTCTCAGTAAAAATCTAATTCACCCTCACCTGATCTGGTCTTTGCAATGAAATTCTTGACTTTGAGCCAATCTAGAAACAAATCACAAAAATATTTGGATGTTAGCAATGTCATTTTTGCCAAATACACTAAAAGTAATTTACTGAGAAAATGCTAAAGATGTCGTATTCCGGACCTCATGAGATATCACGTTGCCTGCAGGTCACAGCTAAAATCCACGTGGTTACTTGTTAACATGGGTTAATTACCATTATCCCTGCTCACATTCTTAATGGAGCTAGTTACATGCTCATGAATCAAACAACCCAAGAGGCCTTTGAGCCCTCATCTCTATGCCATGGCGAAACTAATTTACAGAGAAAATGCTGAGGATGCAATTTTTTTGGGATTCAGTGAGGTTACCATGTAGCCTGCTATTCGCAGCCAATATCTGTTACCTGTCTACATGGGAAATTCCCATTATCACAGTTCACATTCACTATTATGCTAGATACACAATCATGAATCATTATGATAAGTGGGAACTTGAGGGAGACGAATGTGATATTACCATGTAGCCTGTTCATCACAGCTAGTAACTGCATGGTTAACATGGGAAATTGCCATGATTACTGTTCACGCTCGTAATAATGCTAATTACACAAACATGAATTTTCCAGCCCAGGAAGTCACTCAGCACTCAGCCCTATACCACAGTGGCAATGCTGAGGGGGCACTGCTCTGTCAGGGGGGACAGTGCAGAGGGAATACCTCAGTGTCAGGGGGCACAGTGGAAAGGGAGTGCTACACCATCAGGGGGTCAATGTTGAGACAGCAAACTCAGGCAGTCTGTACTGACAGCATTACATAGTTTTCAGAGACACAATTAACCAAGAGCTAAAATGTTGATGGCATCACTGTCAGACAAGATGTTAAATCCAGGTTCTGCCTGCCCTGCCTCTGTGTGCTGTCCTTGTTCTCATTTGGTCAACTTAATGTCAAGTTCTGCAAAGAAAAATCTTTCAAATAAAACATGATGAATGATCAGCTTCAAACAAGAGCTATGTGAGGGTGACAAATCTGTCTCAGTAAAAATCTAATTCACTCTCACCTGATCTGGTCTTCCAAATGAAATTCCTGACTTTGAGCCAATCTGGAAACAAACCACAAAAACATCTGAACATTAGCAATGTCACTGTTGCCAAATACACGTGAATTAATTTACTGAGAAAATGCTAAAGTAGTAGTATTCAGGACCCCATCAGATACCAGGTTGCCTGCTGGTCACAGCTAAAAACAGCACGGTTACTTGTTAACATGACAAATTACTATTTTCCCTGCTCACGTTCATAATGGAGCTCGTTACGCACTCATGAATCTAACAATCCAAGTATCCATTCAGCCCTTATCCCTATGCCACGGTGAAATTAATTTACACAGAAAATGATAAGGATGCAGTTTTTTGGGATTCAGTGAAGTTACCATGTAGCCTGCTATTCGCAGCCAGTATCTGTTACCTGTTTACATGGGATATTCCCATTATCACAGTTCACATTCATCATTATGCTAGATACACAATCATGAATCATTACGATAAATGGGAATTTAAGAAAGACAAATGTGAGGTTACCATGTAGCCTGCTCATCACAGCTAGTGACTGCATGGTTACCTGTTAAGATGGGAAATTACCATGATTACTGTTCACACTGGTAATTATACTAATTACACAATCATGAATCTTCCAGCCCAGAAAGTCCCATGTACCATGGTGGCAGTGCGAAGGGCATGCTGCACTGTGAGAAGGGACAGTGCAGAGGGAGTGCTGCATTGTCAGAAGGCACACTGCATCATCAAGATACTGTACAGAGGAAGTCCTGCACCATCAGGAGGCAGTACAGAGGGAGTGCTGCACACTCAGTGGATCAGTACTGAGGCAGCAAACGCAGGTGGTCTGCACTGATAGCAATACACGGTTTTCAGGAACAATTAAGTGAGAGCTGAAATGTTTAACGTCCAACTCCTTCAAAGAAAAGTCTTTCAAATAACACTGTGATGAATGATCAGCTTCAGACAAGAGCTATTTGAGGGCGACGAATCTGTCTCAGTAAAAATCTAATTCACCCTCACCTGATCTGGTATTTTAATTGAAATTCCTGACTTTGAACCAATCTGGAAACAAATCACAAAAACGTTTGGATGTTAACAATGTCACCGTCGCCAAAAGCACGAGAATTAATTTTACGAGAAAATGCTAAAATTGTCATATTCGGAACACCATGAGATACCATTGCACCCGTTGTTCACGGCTAAAAACCACATGGTTACTTGTTAACATGAGAAATTACCACTATCCTTGCTCACATTCATAATGGAGCTAGTTACACACTCATGAATCTAACAACTCAAGAAGCCATTCAGACCTCATCCCTGTGTCACAGTGAAATTAATTTATTAAGAAAATGCTAAGGATGCAGTTTTTGGGGATTCAGTGAGGTTACCATGTAGCCTGCTATTCACAGCCTGTATCTATAGAGTTACCTTTTCACAAGGCAAATTCCCATTATCATAGTTCACATTCATCTTTATGCTAGATACACAATCATGAAGCATTATGATAAATGGGAACTTGAGGAATACAGATGTGATGTTACCACGTAGCCTGCTCATCACAGCTGGTAACTGCACGGTTACCTGTTAAGCTGTGAAATTACCATGATTATTGTCCATATTCATAATAATGCGAGTTACCCAATCATGAATCTTCCAGCACAGGAAGTCACTCAGCACTCACCCCTGTACCATGGTGGCAGTGCAGAAGGGGTGCTGTACTGTCAGAAAGGATGGTACAGATGGAGTCCTGCATTGTAAGAGGGCACAGTGCAGAGGGAGTGTTGCACCATCAAGACACTGTACAGAGGGACTGCTGCACCATCAGGGGAACGTATAAAATGAGTCCTGCACCATCAGGAGGCAGTACAGAGGGAGTACTGCACACTCAGGAGGTCAGTACTGAGATAGTAAACTCAGGCAGTCTGTACTGACAGCAATAAACGGTTTTCAGAGACACAATTAAGTGAGAGCTGAAATGTTGACCGGTGTCAGTGTCAGTGTCAGTGTCAGATAAGATGTTAAATCATGGTTCTGTCCGCCCTTTCTCAGCATGTAGTCCTTGTTGTCCTGTGATCAACATTACGTCCAACCTCTTCAAAGAAAAGTCTTTCAAATAACACTGTGATGAATGACCATCTTCAAACACGAGCTACGTGACGGCAATGAATCTGTCTCAGTAAAAATCTAATTCGCCCTCACCTGATCTGGTATTTTAATTGAAATTCCTGACTTTGAACCAATCTGGAAACAAATCACAAAAACATTTGGATGTTAACAATGTCACCGTCACCAAAAGCACGAGAATTAATTTTACGAGAAAACGCTAAAAATGTCGTATTCGGAACACCATGAGATACCATTGCACCTGTTGGTCACAGCTAAAAACCACATGGTTACTTGTTAACATGAGAAATTACCACTATCCTTGCTCACATTCATAATGGAGCTAGTTACACAACCATGAGTCTAACAAACCAAGAAGCCATTCAGCCCTCATCCCTGTGCCACGGTGAAATTAATTTACTGGGAAATTTAGGCTGTAGACATGCTCGTTGAGCCGGTCGGTTTGGTTGCAAATGTTTCATCACCCTGCATGGCTACATCGTCAATGCACCTCTGGCAAAGTGTCGGTGTTCTGTCCCGCTTGTTATTTAAATGTCCTGGTTTGTTAACCAAGGGGACAGTACAGAGGGCGTGCTGCACCGTCAGAGGGCACAGTACAGAGACAGTGCTGCACTGTCAGGGAAAATGTACAGAGCGAGTGTTGCACCAGAGACACTGTACAGAACAAATGTGGCACATTCAGAGACAGTGTACAGGGGGAGTGCTGCACCATCAAGAGGCTGTACAGGAGTAACAAGGCACAGGACACTGGGACTACAGCACGGTCAAGGGTCATACAGAATGAGTCCTGCACCATCAGGGGGCAGTATGGAGGGAGTGCTGCAGAGTCTGTGGCACTGAGCGAGTGAACTATGGTCAAGGACGAATGTACAGAGTGAGTGTTGCACAGTCACGGGTGCAGTACAGAGGGTGTTTTGTACTGTCAGCGGGTCAGTACTGAGGCAGCAAACTCAGGCAGTCTGTACTGACAGCATTACTCTTTTGAGAGACATGATTAAGTGAGAGTTGCAAAGTTGATGGTGTCACTGTCAGTTGATATGTCAAAGCCAGGCTCTGTTTGCCCTCTTTCAGTATGCAGTCCCTGTTGTCATTTGGTCAACATAAAACCTCTCAAATAACATTGCAATGAATGATTACTTTCAGAAACCAGCGACATGAGGCTGACGAATCTGTCTTGGTAAAAGCCTATTCGCCCTCACCGGATCTGGATTCTTCAATGGAATTCCTGACGTTGACCCAACCTGGAAAGAAATCACGAAAACATTGATGTTAGCAATATCACTAATGCCAAATACACCAGAATTAATTTACTGAGAAAATGCTAAAGATATCGTATTCAGGACTCCATGAGACACCACCTTGCCTGCTAGTCACAGCTAAAAACTGCACGGCTACATACAACATAGAACAGTACAGCACAGGAACAGGCCCTGTTCATGCCAAACACGATGACAAATTAAATTAATCCCTTCTGCCTGCCAATGGTCCATATCCCTACATCCCTCACTTATTCATATGAATATCTAAAAGCCCCTCAAACGCCACTTTCGTATCTTCCGCCATCATTACCCCGGCACCCTACACTATCTGTGTATATAAACATGCCCCTCACATGTCCTCTGAACTTTCCCCCTCTAACCTTAAATGCATGCCCTCTCGTGCTGGACATTTCAACTCTGGGATAAACTTTCTGACCATCAACCCTATCTATGCCTCATAATTTTATAAACTTCTATCAGGTCTCCCATCAGCCTCTGCTACTCCACAGAAAACAACCCTAGTCTGTTCAGCCTTTTCTTATAGTTCATGCCCTCTAATCCAGGCAGCATCCTGGTAAGGCTCTTCTGCACCCTCTTCAAAGCCTCCTTATCCTTCTGTAGTGTGGTGACCAAAATTGAATGCAATATTCTTAAGTGCAGCCTAACCAAACTTTTATAAAGCTGCAACATCACTTCCTGACTCTTGTACTCAATGCTCCGACCAATAAAGGCAAGCATGCCATATGCTTCTTCACCACTCTACCTACTTGTGTGGGTCACTTTCAGGGAGCTCGGGACTAGGACTCCAAGATCCCTCTGTACATCAATGCCATTAAGGGTCCTGCCATTAACCATACACTTTCTTTTAACATTTGATCTCCCAAAAGGAACACCTCACACTTGCCCAGATTGGACTCCATCTGCCATTTCTCCGCCCATATCTGCAACTGATCCATATCCTGCTGTATCCTTTGATAATCTTCCACAACTGTTTTCATCCAAGTCATTTACAACAGCCGTGGTCCCAGCACGAGTCCCTGTGGAACACCACTAATCACGAACCTCCAGCCAGAAAAACACTCTTCCACCACCACCATCTGTCTTCTATTGGCAAGCCAATTCTGGATCCAAACAGCCCAGTAACCATGGACCACATGCATCTTAATCTTCTCGATGAGCCTACCATGAGGGACTTTGTCAAAAGCTTTACTAAAATCCATGTAAACAACATCCACTGCTCTACCCTCATCAATCACCCTTGCCACCTCCTCAAAAAAAAATCAAGTTATTAAGACAGGACCTGCCCTGCACAAAGCTATGCTGACTGTCCCTAATCAAGCCATGCTTTTCCAAATGTGTGTAAATCCTATCTCTAAAAACTCATTCATCCAGCTTCCCAACCACCATGAGACTCACGAGCCTATAATTTCCTGGATTATCCCCATTTCCCTTCTTGAACAGAGGAACAATATTAGCTACTTGCCAATTCTCAGGTACCTCTCCAGTGACTAGAGAGGATACAAAGATCTTGGCCAAGGCCCCAGCAATCTCTTTTGCCTCTCACAGTAACTGCAGTCGATCTCATCAGGCCCTGGGGACTTATCCACCTTAATGCTCTCCAAGAGACCTCACATCACTTCTTTCTTGACCTCAAAATGCCCTAGTATATTAGCATGTCCCACACTAATCTCACTATTCCCCCATATCCTTCTCCTTGGTGAATATTGACAAAAATTACTCGTGTAGGATCTTGCCCATATCCTCTGCATCTCTAGTTATCTTCTTGCTTTTAAGGTATATATAAAATACACTCTTATATTCTTTAACCCTACTCACCAAGGATATCTCATGGCCTCTCACTGCACTCCTAAATTCCTACTTAAGTTCTTTCCTACTTTCTTTACATTCCTCATGGGCCCTGTCCAATTTTAGCTTTCTAATCCTTACATATGATTCCCTTTTCTTTCTGACTAAATTCACAATCTCCCTTGGTATCCAAGGGTCCCATACCTCGTCATCCCTGTCCTTCCACCTTTCTGGAACATGCCAGTCCTGAACTCTCATCATCAGGTCTTTAAACAATTCTCACGTCAAATGTGGACTTGCCTGATAACAGCTCCTCCCAATTAACACTCCCTAGCTCCTGCCTAATACTGACATAATTTGTCCTCTCCCAGTTTAGTATCTTCCCACAAGGTCCTGACTTATCCTTATTCACAGCTATCTTAAAACTTAAGGAGTCATGATCACTGTTTCCAAAATGCTCCCCTACTGTAAGGTCAGTAACCTGGCCACGCTCATTTGCCAATACAAAGTCGAGTATGGCCCCTCCTGTAGTTGGACTATCCACATACTGTTTCAAGAAACCCCCTTGGATGCACTTAACAAATTCTGCCCTGTCTAAGCTTCTTGCTATAAGGGAGTCCCAGTCAAAATCAGGGAAGTTAAAATCACCCACTATGATAGCCCTGTCATTTTTGCGTCTTTCCAAAAGCTGCCTACATATCTGACCCTCAATGTCCCTGTGACTGCTGGGAAGCCTGTAGTATAATCCCATCACAGCGACCGCACCCATGTCATATTGCCTTGGTGAACGAGCCCTCCAGTATGCTCCCTCGGAGTGCAGCTATGACATTGCCCCTGAATAACAGCGCAACTCTCCACTCTTACCTCCCACTCTCGTCTAAAACATCAAAACCCTGGAACGTTGAGCAGCCAGTCTTGCCCCTCTCTCCACCAGATCTCTATAAGGGCCACAACATCACAGTCCCGTGTACAGATCAAAGCTCTAAGTCCATCTTGCAAAGTTAGTGTGTGTAAAATCGCAAAAATTGATAGTGGGGAAAAACAGTGTGTTGTCCCTTTAAAAGATGGTGTTTTTTTCAGTGCTTAGGGTTAAAATGGATATCTGACCAGCAGTTTGAAGTGCAGGTGCACACAGGGAGTGTCTGAATGGAAACATTTTGCATCGAACAGCCAAGCACCGTTTTTAGCAAGACAAAAAGTCTTTTCAAATTTAGCCAAATCAATTTAAAACAAGTCATTAGATGCCAAAAACCTATGAAATTTAAATCTGATGGTGTTGACAACCTGAAACTAATTATGTTATAAGAATTTGATGTGGCATGGGGATATAGAAGACAGGTTTTTTGGAGGTCAGCAGAGAGCCAACTGCCAAGAGACCAACACCTTCTGTTTGCTCTCAGAAAAAGCACCATCTAATTAAAATGGTACCACAGCATTTCTAGCTAAAAGTCCTCCCTGAAGCAATTACAGAGAAAAACATCCCTGACTGCAGAATCAGCGACAGAAAGATATTTGTGACATGAGATCGACATAAGAAAGGCTGGAGAAAGCAGAGTGTTCTAGAAGATAGTCTGTGTGAACTTGGAGACACCATGTTTTAATTTATTGTTGTCTTATTAATTGGGTTTATACAAGTGGGACTTGTGTTTACTTGAACAGCATTCCAGTTGAATTTAGTTCAGTAAGGGAGTAGTTAGTAGTCTCAAAGGGAATCGTTTATTTTGTTAGTAATTCTGTTAATTTGTTCATTGTTAGGTTAAATAAATAAATTGTTACTCATAACAATGAGATCAGGGATTTTCTTTCATCAAACCACTCTTTCAACAAATTACAAGGGGAAAGGCAAGCTTCTCTGGGTGTTTCAGGGGTAATTATCAGAGGGGAACCCTCACTCCCGTCACGATAGATTGGGGTTTGTGTTTTGGTTTAACTATCAGAGGGGTTCGGCCATTTCCCCTCTGTAACAAAATTGGGGATTCGAGACCAGGATCTGGACGGATCATGTACAGGATCTGAACGGATTTGGGCAGATTTAAACAGACTTGGGGATTAATGTCCTCGATCTTTAAATAAAATGTAGGTAGAAAAATCTATTTAATTTTGGCTTTGTGTTGTTGGATAAATTAGAAGTGAGGGAAATGGCTCTTAACGTTGCTAAAGAGGTTGAGATTTGAAGATACTTCCCAAATTTGCCAAGAAAATTTAGAAAAACAGAGGAATGACATACTGTTAGAATTAGCAAACAGGTTAGAATTGGGTTTAACTGGAGATAAGAGAAAGCTGAAATTGTAATGGAGTTGGTCAAGCACCTAGGTATATCAGAGAAACAGGCAAGCGCAGTGAAGTTAGAGAAAATTAAAATTGAAAATTAGACATTTGGAGTTAGAAGAGAAAGGGAAACTGGCTAGGCAGATGACTTGGCCAGAAACTGTGTGGGTAATGTTAATTCAGACCAAGTTGTAGGCAGGGCTAGTGAAGTGTTTGCAGTGCTGTCAGATGAGGTATCAAGAGATTATGAAGAGGTTAAACAGGCTATTTTGAGTGCCTACAGTTTGGTACCAGAAGCACCTAGACAATGGTTCAGAAAAATGGAGGAGGAACCAGGTCAGAGTATTTCAAGCTTGCAAGACTTAAACAGAGCAACTTTAATAAATGGGTAAGAGCATTAAAGGTAGAAAAGACAAATGAGGATCTTAGAGAGATTATTCTGCTGGAGGAGTTTAAAACCTCACTTCCAGAGATGATAAGGACTCATACTGAGGAACAGAAAGTTACCAAAGAAAGAAGAGCGGCACAGATGATGGATGAATATATATTAGTGCATAAATCAAAATTTAGCTTCCAACAGCAATCTCAGTCCGTGAGGGATAGAAATTGGGAAAAAAGGGAGATCTTTCAATGAAAAAACAAAAGTAGATTACACTGGGAGCAGTTTACCACAGGTGACAAAAGAAACCCAAGAGGTTGAAAAGAAGCTAAGAGGCCTCAGATGTTTTCACTGTAACGGAGTGGGACACAAAGTCACACTGCTGGTGATTTAAGAAATGCTCTGGGAAAAAGAACGTGGTGAAAAATGCTAAACAAGTGGGATTAGTTGAGGTACTGAAAGAAATCCCAAAAGGAGTCGAAGAGCTGCAGGAGAATGCAGCCTAGTAACAGGTTGCATAATGAGACAG